CGGAAGAGCTTGCGATGTCCAATCAGCAGGACGAGCCAAGTTGTAGCTGAATGAATGGAATGTTTAAATTTGAATGGCTATTTTTAAACCCTCCTAAACATCAAGAAAACTTACCCTATGTGAACTACAGAATAGTGGCACCAGACAACACACAGCAAGTCATCTTCAATTGTTCGAAATTTGTTTCAGGCCCACTCCTATAATTAAGTTTCAGTTTTCATTTATACTTACAAAAATAAAAAGGGATTTTCACATTACGACAAACATCTATAAAAAGCAGTTTACTTCAATATATTCAGTTTCCCTGCTATTCTGGTTTACATTTAACTTGATAAATTCTTCTCCCAGCCTAACTTCTTACCTAAAGAAACCAAGTAGGTCTGTTTCTTCAGCCTGTTCCTGTGAAAAAAATCACAAATCCATTATAATGCTAATGGCGGATAAAGGGGAACAAAAAAACAAAAACAAACAAAAAAACACACCCTCTCTCAAGTCTGTCCTTAATTACTAGAAAAGGGCTATACTGACCGAAAGACTGAAAAGTATAAAGTTACCAATTTGGAAATTCTCTGAACTGAGAAGAATACACAAGTTATATAGACACTGATAGACTTTGCTCATGCTCTGATAAAAACAAGACCAAATTAAGATTATTAATTTTTCATTTTCTGATGCTACAGTTCGCCTTTAGAAGAGAGCACTGCAGAAAATATGGACCAGTCAGTGTTGGTCTTGACTCGCAATTATTTATCCTGTAAGACCTTTCTGAATGTGTCAATACAAAGCATATCATTTGAAAAATGTGTACCTTTATTAAGAGCATTTTCTCTTATAATGCCTGCATTGGTGCTTTGTTTTTAATAGAAACTGTATCAGAAAATTTTTTAAGGAAAAAAGTATTGAGTAGGCTGATCTTTTTAAAGAGCTTATACTCCCAGAGAACATCAAGGCTGTGATTACTTATATTAAAATCAATTATATTACGGATCACACTGCACTTTAATACATCTTATTTCATTGAACAAACATGCTCTTAAACGCATCAAGTTACCTATCTAATAAGCAACTGTATTTTGGCAATCTAATGAGCTGTATCATGTAGATGAACTCAAGTTTGCTCCCATTTACTGACATGAAAAACTGCCTATTTTTCCATAGGTCATTATATAAATACCAGTTCCAGTTTTTTACGTTGCCGAAAGCCAGTGAGCAGCTGCCGTATAACAAAGAGTCAAGTTTACTTCCAGGTTTACTACTACTTCAGGAGTTCAAGAAAAAAAGTGAAAAGGGTACATACGCTTTCACTTCCAGAAGTGGAAGAGCCAAAGACAACAGCATATCAAACGTTAGCAAGCTTAGATTTGGAATTTGCCACAAGGGAAACTCCAGCACAGTTCATTTAACAATCTTTCACGTCATCACACAGAGCATTTCAGCTTTAAAAGCTTAAAGAGATGCTGAACAGAAAGGACACCTGCCTTCGAATATAGGTACGAATTTCAGATTCAAATTTGAAGGTGGGACGTTGTTGCTAAATAAAATATACAACTGCAAAAGTATATGGCGAGTCAAATGTAATTGTGTTTCACAGATCTCAGGTTTAGAATTTTTACTTTCAGTAGCAAGATTCTGGGCTCTTAGTTTCAGATACTTTGAAAGATACAGAATCACTTGTGCTTTGATTGGCACATTATCTGCTTTTTAAAAACGTAAAATTAAAAGACATTTGCAAAAGGTTGTGCAAAACTATCATATTTACAAAAATGGCACAAGCGTGATTTCAACAGTCTATGCACGTGCACACTTCATTCACATCTTTAACAAAAGTGTGTTCTAAGCTACGGAACTGAAGAGAATACCAGCTTCAACAGGCAGTTGTCAATAAGCACTAGATTCACAAGAGTTACACCAGAATGGGCAAATATTGCCCAAGTAAAAACTCTATTGTTAAAGCTGAAACAGGTTTAAGGCCGTTCAAGTTCGAGAGCAAAAACAAAATTCAATCAGAGCCCTGTCTTTGTTTTTATACATGCTTCACCTTCTAGCAACTCGTGGTCTAAACCTCTATTTTAGACAACAAACCCAAACACAGAAGAAAAACCCAACACAAATGGAGGTTATATTAAATACAAATATGCTGTAATTAAGGTGAAATAACAAAAGCAGAAACATTAAAAGTTGTAAAACTTGCGATGTCACTTGCTGGAACCAGTCCTACGCTAGGAAATGGGCAATATGTACATTTTCAAGTAGATTACATTGCTTTAACCAAACTTGTCCTTTTAATCAGTGCATTATTCTCAACTAGTCCAAATACTACACGTTTTACTTCTTAACAGTACTCCCTTACAATAGCAGCACATGCTATCGCTACCTGCAAAGCTGTCAGTCTCATGACTTAGTGTAAGGAGAAAAAAAAGGGGGGGGGGGGGGGGGGGGGGGGGAGGAAAATAGGGAAGTGAGGGTGAGATATAACTATTAAGGAGAAATAACAGGAATGAGAGTATTCATGCAGTTCAGCTGTTCTAGTCAGCCAGCCAGCTTGCTAGCAACAAGAGATGGTTTCCGCTGAGGGAGATCTTGTGGAGTAGGAATATGGTCACCAGTGACTTCTGTCTTGTCAGGAGCTGCAGTAGGCAGTTGCTTATTCTTCATCTTTGCTTTAGCCATGTTGTAATCACCAGAATCAAAGTACTTTTGCTAGAAGACAAAATTTTAAATATATATAAGCCTGAAGTGTTATTAGATATATACACTGAATGACAGGGTTAAATAACTATTTTTAAGTTTTAAAGAATCAATTTAAGCTTTTTTGATTTGGCAAGGTAGCTAGCACTATGTTGATCCAAAAAAAATCATATCAAAACTATTAGGCATGCATAGCTAGACTCTGAACATCAATAAGTATATAGTTCAGGTTCTACCTACACCATTAATCTAATACCATGTGAGTATTATTTTTGCCTTGGTTTTCACAAGAGCATTCCTCACCCATACTTTAGTCCTTGAGGCTTGTAAAATTTGTTGCAGTGAGCAAGTTCTGCTAGACAGAATAACCAAACAACCTATGAACTAAAGCTGGAGAATTGAGCCTGCTCTATCATACCAGATCAAAGCAGCACAAAACTGCATATAAGAAGCAAATCTCTTAACTGCATGCATTAAAACAGTAAAGCTACGATTCCTAAGTTCCAAAACCTATTATTTAGTTAACCAAATCAACTGTACAGTCCTTCTGAAAAGCACTGTGTGAATGAAATTCTTATCCCTACTCCAGGTTTCCTCTGGACATAAGACTTTCATTTAGAAACTAAGGAGTACATTCAGTTTGAATTTTGCTTTACTTTCACTTTGCAAAACAGTGTTCCTTAAATACATGCGTTCTTATTATATTTCTGTAAGTTATTAACTTTAACAGTCTTTTTGGTCATATCTCTAAAAAATGTTATCTATGGATGTTAAAGACAAATGACTGTTACAATTATCTGCATTGTGATAAGCGTAGGTATCATCTGAACCCTACATGAAATCTTCAACCGTTGGTTGACACATTTTAGAGAAATGCAGTTGTATTTTGTTTATACCTTACTCAGAGGCCTACCACTAAGGTGCTTTTAACCTACAACTTTGCACAGATTACCAAATGAGGCCAAAAGTCAGATTCAGAGCAAAGATTTACACTAGCAATTGTTGCTTACAATGCACAATCATCTCCAAAGAGAACCCTCCCTAGGTAAGTTTACGTGGGCTTGTACCTCTAAGGCAGTTGAATAGCAACCATCATCACCTGTTATGTTTCAATTCTTCCAGAGAACATATTACTACCACTCTCTTCATTTTGTATTAGTATTAACTACCTGTAAAACGTTCAGTAGCAGTAGTTGAAGAGAACTAATTTGAACACCTGAATTAATAGGGCTTTACCTAAGAAACAAAAAGGATGTTTATTTAGGGCTCCTGAAGAAGGCATTCAATGTTTCCTGCTGTAGTTTGCTAGAGCCTTAAAAATCAGCAAATCTCTTCTTCCCAGGCAATCAGGACACCTGAACCACATATGTTCATTGGCAAACCTTCCAAATCTATCCTTTTGACAGTGTAATCCTATTTACAACACAATACTCTGGCACTCTATCTGCTGACAGGCCTAGAAATAGGCTTTTGTATTTTGTGCTTCAAGACTGAAGCAATAAAAAGGATCTTAAATAGGAACTAAGTAATAATAGAATTGTTCAATCTTTAGAAGTGTTACTACTGTTAGCTGATACACGTTTCCATCCACAGAACTAAAATTCTCTCTGCAGGAGCATAGCATCCATTCTTATCTATTACTATTCTGGAGGAAACATGCTAATGATATGTGCATCCAATTATACAGGACGCTTACAGGTGCAGAGTCTAATTGAAGGCTTGTAGCTAGCGGTGTCCCCCAGGGGTCAGTCCTGGGTCCAGTCTTGTTCAATGTATTCATCAATGACCTGGAGGAAGGCACAGAGTGCACCCTCAGCAAGTTTGCTGATGATACTACACTGGGAGGAGCGGCTGACACACCAGAAGACTGTGCTACCATTCAGAGGGACCTGGACAGGCTGAAGAGTCGGGCAGAGAGGAGGAACCTCATGAAGTTCAGCTTAGGCAAGTGCAGGGTCCTGCACCTAGGGAGGAATAGTCCAATGCACCAGTACAGGCTGGAGGCTGACCTGCTGGAAAGCAGCCCTGCAGAGAAGGACCTGGGAGTCCTGGTGGACACCAAGTTGACCATGAGCCAGCAACGTGCCCTTGTGGCCAATAGGATCCTGGGGTGCATTAGGCAGAGTGTTGCCAGCAGGTTGAGGGAGGTGATCCTGCCCCTCTACTCAGCCCTGGGGAGGCCTCACCTGGAGTACTGTGTCCAGTTCTGGGATCCTCAGCACAAGAGAGACCTGGAGCTCCTGGAGAGAGTCCAGCAAAGGGCTACTAAGATGATTAAGGGACTGGAGCATCTCTCCTATGGGGAAAGGCTGAGAAAGCTGAGCCAAGCCTGTTCAGCCTGGAGAAGAGAAGACTGAGGGGGGATCTCATCAATGTATATAAGTATCTGAAGGGAGGGTGTCAAGAGGATGGGGCCAGACTCTCCTCCGTGGTGCCCAGCGATAGGAGGAGAGGCAACGGGCACAAACTGAAACACAGGAAGCTCCATCTGAACACGAGGAAAAACTTCTTGACTGTGAGGGTGACCGAACACTGCAGCAGGTTGCCCAGAGAGGTTGTGGAGTCTCCTTCCCTGGAGACACTCAAAAGCTGTCTGGACACGATCCTGGGCAACATGCTCTAGGTGACCCTGCTTGAGCAAGGGAGTTGGTCTAGATGATCTCCAGGGGTCCCTTCCACCCTCAACCATTCTGTGTGATTCTGTGCGATTGCGTGACATTTCTGGAGAGCGAACAGCAACAGGCAGAGTGTGTCCTAGTTGTCAAATAGAAGAGGATCTGAAAGTATAAGTTTAGAAAAGTGTCTAAAAAAACCCACCTTTCATGCATTAGAATATCAGCTCATTTCTTCCTTTAGCTTATTTCTGTATTTCCTTCTGATATACTCCAGCTTTTCATAGATGGCCTGTATTTGATCATCCCACTCAAACAGACTCTAAATTTGCATAGAAGTCTTGTTGTCACAAGCACTATTTGAAAGTATACTCGCTATCTGGACTCTGTTTTAAAACTGCAGCAATTCAGGCAGCCCAAAGTGCACCAGGGGCCTACACCAAATAAAGGTGCTTCCTCCTTTAAGACACTGCACACATTAAACGAAAATAATAAAAGACATAACATAGGAGAAAAGTATTACCACCACATCATGAGTAGAGAACTGAAGAAGGCAGGTTATGAATCAGAATCCACAACCTTTCGTCATCCTTCATCTCAGTAGCAAAATCCCAAACCCTGAGCCAAATAAGATGGCCTTCTCTTGATCTGAATGGGTCTGGATCAAAATACTAAAAATAAAATGGCATCTAAGTACTAAAATTTGAAAACATGGGCTGTAACATCCCCTGCATAAACAGTACTATTATCAAGATGGAGATATTGTAGAGATTGCTATTACTGTTGGTATTTGTTCCATATTTGCACTGAATACAAAAAGCCATAACAATTGCTCTGTGGACAAAAATAACATCAATCTTATACTGCTCTCTTCCCAAATCATCAGCACCACACACGTTTACCGTGACCATTCTGTGCCTACATGCATATTGAACCAGCCTAAGTCTCACTTAGGTTACCTTTGACCATGTAACAGCATAGCTCACAGAAGAAGCCGTCTAATCTACTACCTGACTGTTCACAGCAGCCATTAACTATGCTGCGTAGGCTCTAACTTATGAAAGGGCATATCCAAAAAAGCCACCAACAATAGTCAGTTCCCAGGAGATGTTATCAGATAGCATAAAACGAGATCAGTACAGAACTCCAACAGCTGGTTCACAAAGGATTCATACTTGGAATCACTGTGCACTCAAAGGGCCTAGACAATACTGAGGAAAAGAAAAAGTTTTACAGTAATGAAAGCACCAGCAAAAGTTGTGCTATACTAGGATTTTTCCAAGAACAGAGGTCACTAACTTGCCTGAAATGCACAACAATCATTTTAAGAATAATTAAACAGTAGAATCAGTTAAATGACTTTAAGAACATAAAAGACATTGGTCAAATGTGGAACAATACTGAAATATGAATTCACTCTTCATTATTCTACCAATTACTGTAGGCTAGGGTATACGGTCAAAATTACAATTATCAAGCCACCGATGCGAGATGATGGTTGGCGTAAGATCATAGATGCTCTAAGTCTTCACACGCTAAAACATGGATAATAATTAAGAATGGCCATGCATTTTGGCAATGTTAAGAACGGGTAAGATAAGATCAAAAACAGGGATGAAGTTCTGACCCTTAATGTTTACTATAATTTTTTTTTTTTTTAAATGGAAGTCTATCACAGCTGCAGTGAGCCAGCTTTTAAGTCTAATTTTTTTCTTAAAGATGCAGGTAAGCCATTCATGCCATAAGCAGCTACCTTGCCAACTGGACATTTGTTTTGTGGAAATTATGTTTTAACAGGTTTCTCTTCCTTGTGCTTTTCCAGAAAAAGTTTAAACTTCTTAGCATTTTTATGCATGTGAAGGTCTGCAGAGGGAAAAAGAATCACAGATATGGGAGTTGGGAATTTCTTGCCCATACCCTGTGGACAATAAAGAACTCACTCCTTTTTGAAGCCTCTTTCTCAAGAAGTCTGAGCCTCCTGGCTTCTGGCCCAGATGAGGATATCTTGCTTTCAATTTTGCTTCTTCAGCTTTTTCTGGGCTGATCACCTTATCCTCCATTTCCTGAAATATAATTAACAATACTGTAAGTTAAACGTATCAGAATACACTATTTATGTCGGAACACCTACACAGGCAATCCATCAAAATACTGATTTATGCTAGCATCTGAATATATCAATTATCTGAGCATACATTTTCATATCCTCTCAAGAACCCTGACAGCAACTGTATGAGTTCAGCTTCCCATCTTACATAAATACTTTCCGTGAACACGTTAGAATATAATCAACACAATTCACTTTTACAGAAAATTAAGTAGCGTATATCAAGAGCAAGCTATGTTCTTCAGTTTCAACAAAAACATTTTTCAGTCAAGCGCAGGGCTTCACTAGGTCCAAATAGAAGTTGAAAGCTGGACAAGAGACACGGGACTTTTTCCAGCTACCTCTGCTTCATTACTAAGTAGCAGAGATAGATTAGTACTTGCACGCTTGGAACAATTTAATTTTTATGCCTGTGCTATAATTGTGATGCGCTGATGTTCACCATGAAACAGTGTTTAAGTACCTCAGTCCCAAAAATGTGCTTGCTGTCATATTAATGACAACGATATTGTAGTTCTCTACACTGGCCTTTTATGGAAGGCCAGTGTTGTCTACGACCGTCCTAAAATTATTAAGACGGTCAGATAGTCCATTCACGTAGGGTAAAATGCGTATTTTATGAGTGTACTGTAAGATGCAGATGCCCAAAGTAATGATTTGAAGATATTCTTTTGGTAAAAACTATAATTTGTACATCCAGTCTTTCCACACTGACCTCTACCTTACAGTCATCTGCTCCAGTTCACATAGCAAATTGACATATGTATAATACAGTTTTTCTCTACCAGATCATTTCTAAAATATCTTCCATTCAAAATTCTTCTTTCACTACTTTTCAATATTTGGCCAAGATCATTTTTTGCATGCAAACCATGGCTTGTTTGGGAAAAAAAATATATTGATTTGCACTGGTTGCTGTAGCCCTTGAAATGCAATTACCATCTGAAGTCACAGGAAGACTTCTAGGCAGGAAAAGAATTGTCATTGAAATGAGGAGAGCCCAGCATTCACCCGTGACCAAAGTTTCATATTCACTGTAGAGCTGCATAGGCAGCCCCTTCACACTCTTTTCCATCCATGTCATCATCCTTTCATTGTATCAGTCAGCATGACTGTGTATATTCCACATAAACAGGTTAGAGAAACTAATTCAACTGAGAAACAACCATATATTCCTTTCCCTTGCTGGGTGTGTCTCAGCTGGACCAGTCTCCCCAGTCTGGTTCACCAAGCAGCTACATAAAAAGGTATGTTAGCACAGCAGCAGGGAGGACAAAGGAAAAGGAGCAGTTGGGGGCTCCTTCAGCCAGAACTACCAAAGAACTATGGCCACACTACTAGCCTATCACAATTAACAGTGCTCCCTACATCTTTTAGGAAAGCTCAAAGATGTAGGATATGCAACATCTTTCTGGTAAGGAACTCCAGAAACAAAGGATATGATAATAACTCCCAACAGATTTAAAATACAACAGACAGTCTAGTTGCTCCATTAGTCCAAGACCTCACAAAGAGAACTTCTCCCAAACCAGTAGGAATCTAAATTAACAGTTCTACCAAGGAAAGACAGTAACTCTCCTAACACTTTCAGAGAAAATTCTATGAGGACCAGAACCAATGGTTCTCGGTTACAGATGAAAAGGTAGCTAGGCAGTACCAAGATATGCAAAGTTTACCTGATATACTATAGAACACAGAATTGTATTATTTTTCACTATATATCGCACCAATCAAGACTACGGTTTTCATGAGTTATAAAGGTCACTCCCAACAGCTGTTCCTCCTGTCACGCTTTGCTATCACATCAACATCGACTCCCAGATTTTCTCAAAAGCTATCCTTTCAGCTAAAGGCACTTTCAACAGCTGATGCTGGGCTATTCATCGCGGAAGGAGCGGAGCATTTAAGGGGACATGTTTTGCCAATATTAACCAATATGAGATAATTTAAGAACAGAGGGTCAACAATAGATAGGTTGCGTAATTATGTATTTATGGTGCATCAAAGGAGACATTTATGCAAATTCACAGAGTTGACATATCACACAGCAAGGAATCAAAAAAAAAAACCCCTAATACTGCGTCATACATCAATTTGGCTAAACTGGACACAGACTATGGCTACCTACTCTTGATTGAGAAAATCAAGATCCCCCAGAACTGCATAAGACAAGTTAAGGAAGAATTTCAACCCCAGAGCTTGGGGCATCAAACAAAATCAGTTGATGGTAGCTTCAAAAGAGACCTAGGAAGATAGTTCTTCACATAACATACAGTTAAGCTACAGAACTCCTTGCCAGAGGATATAGTAGATGCCAAGAACTTAGATGGATTCAAAAAGCAATTGGATGCATTCATTCATAGCTCAGAAGGCTTTTAAGCCATGGACTGTTGAGACCTGGGATAGTATGCTGAGAGAGATCACTGCATGTCTGCCCTAGCCCTATATTCTTCTGCAGGCTAGACAGCACTGAGCAGTCTTAGAGATGCGTCACTCTGCCAAAAAACCTTGAACTCAAGTCAATAAGGCTATTCTTATGTTCAGTATTTTTCCCTTGAGTTACAGAAACAATAACCAAGTGACTAACAACTGACGGAAAAAGAATCAAAATACACCATGTTTTTCCTCCTCGTAAATTATAACTTTTGTGTGGTAGTTAAATTCTCTACGGGAATGTTTGCATAGCGAATGAAGTCTGCTTACTTCATAAAGGATAGCTAGTAGTTAGTAGTAGTTCATTGAAAGGCAGCTTTTGCTTTTCAGTCTTTACAGAAGTACTAGATGGGTGAGGTTTCATATCTGCTGGACAACTGAACTGCATGGCTAAAAAAGAACCATCAGCCTTTTCAAACTGCGGTATGAACAGCTCACCCTCTTTAACAAAAGAATCAGAGGAAACGTCAAGTAGAAATGGGAAAACATGACTATAGCAACAACATAATTCTTCAGCCAACAGCTGTGGCAAAAGTCAATCCAGAAACAAGATGCACCATTTTTAACAGCTTCCTGAAAAACAGGGACTTCTAAGGCAAAACAAAGTGAATCAACCAAGCATATTTTCCATAACCTAAAGGTTTCTTTGTTCTCGTTCAACTTCCCCCTCCCAGTATCCTTAGATTTTACACTGAGAACTGGAAACGCTGGCCCTATGGCAAATTTTCAAATTTATATCAATCTCCTGTTTAACATCTTTCTTACCTAACGTACATACATTCTTCTTACATCATGTTAGAAAAGTTTATAGTAAAAGGTCTGCTCTTTAAGCCACTTCCTAGTTAAAGTTCCTTTAAGGGCTTAATCTTTTCCAAGCAAATACATCAGTAAGTATTACAAAACAAGTTCATTTAAATAACTACTTCAGAGCGAAGCATTCACTAAGCCAATGTCCAGTTATGCCTAGCCAGGCATAAACATTTTTAGTGCAGTTTAGTATTGCAAAGCCATAACACAACTTTGTAATACTGATGCCATAGTATCCTTATAGGACATAATCTTACAGAAAACACATACAATTGTATTTGCTTTTTTCATTTCATTTGGCTTGAATAACTGACCAGATTAAAATCGAACTAGAAAATTAATGAAGGATTCTTATACCACAAGCAATCAGTGAATTTTCAAAATATAATGTGTAAGCACTGCATTCTAAGGCTTCATGCTGCAACTTAGTTGGCAAAATGAGCCCAAGTCACCTGACTTCATCAGAACACACTAGAAGGCATCACAATAAACTTGCTACCGCATGTTTTACTGTGCTCTTATTACAGAACTATTCTGGGACCGTGGCCACAGATTTATTTTCATATGCTTTGAATAGAAACACTATCCTTTCAACGGTCTACTTAACGTGAAAGTTGAGTCGGGCTGCAAGACACAAGATTTTAAAAGCGGGGACCAGTCACAGAAGGTTGGCCCCGATTCCTGCACGTACAACAGTATCATTCTGTATGACCCCAAATCTTTCCTACTTGCACGACAGATTCATATTACAGGCTGTGAATTATTAAACAAAATCTTAAATAAGTAAAGTAAATCAAGTTTTTCCTTTTACAGTCCTTCAGAGCAGTGCTTGCGTTTAATAACTTCTTCCTATCAGGAACAGCTTGCATCTGAGTCTGTACAACAATGACGAGACAAAGAAACCAAAGGACTTCCTAAAGTGAGAGCCAACAGAAGGAAAGGGCTAACAACATACAGTCGCTTATGAAGCCAGATCCCATTTAAGCGCCTGCAAGATTGTTAGTTACACTGATGACATAACAGCACCTTTAAACTTAACAGCTGTTCTTTCTAGAAGCCGTGCTAGTAAGACAAGTTGCAACACAGCAATCGTGTTTTGGGTGTTTTTCCTCCTTGCTAGATGATCTTAAAAGTTAAGAGAAAATCTAAATACATAAATAAAAGTTTAACCAGCTGGATTAACAGCGGCCTCCAGCCGCTGCGACTGCGAGGAGAATATCC